AAGTAATTTTTGTAGAGTATAGTTTGCTAGATTTTCTCACTCTCTCCTCCTTTATCTCATATGCCCCAGGTAAATTACACCCTATCTGTTATTCGTCGTCTTTGTTGTCAACTCTTTGAAGGGTCACACCGTGCAAGTGAGACCATGATGCCATCTGAGATGTCGTTGTTACCACTACATGTGGCACCACTTGTCTCTCCAGTAACCATACTTTTGGAATTCTGAGTGATGAAGAAAATCTAAAGAGGAAACTACTAGTTTCCAAAAAAAGCGTCAAGGACTCTCCCTCTAAACTAAGCCTTCTAGTAAGATCTTGTGAAATAAGCGAAGCGTATCAGTCATTATCTAGGTAAACGCAAGTCTTTACCCGACTTTCTCCATTTCTACCAATACAGGCACTATAGTGCTTGACAGTTTCTTGATATTTGATTCGCCTTAAAACAGAAGATACACAACCTTGTTTGTGCAAACTCCATCTTTTCATTAATATCCTTATCTCTAGAACTTCCACCTTGGTCTAAGGGGTTGTTTTCAGTACATAATGAACATAACAACCTAGGAGTGTTTGGACATACGAGTGTAGCAACATCAGACCTATTCTTGTTAGCGGACGAAACTCTTGCCTTATACTCTGAATCGAGGTGTCTTTTAGTACAAACAGCCGAATGCGTTTGGTCGACATTAGAGGGATCTCCACTGACAAGTAATCCGTATCTGGTATAAGTAATATCCGAATGCTCTTTCAAAAATTCGCAAAGGTTCATAAATAAAGGCTCTCTGCCCGCCTTAAAAATCCCACATAGCACTTTCATCGATTCTATTAACAGGTGTAAAGGATGTTTTAAGAACACGCTATCGTTGTCTTTGTAGAATTAAGGTCGAATACATAGTTCTTCTGTGTGAGTATTATCTCACCTTACGACAGCCTTCTGTTTTGAGCAAGTCACAATTAACATTAGTTGACTTAGCTTCACTGTCACAATACTGAACTAGATAGCCCAACCAAAATCCGGTTCTAGCACGTTCACCAAAACAGTCTTCGAAATTGCATATGAAACTCTAATAAATCGTGCGATTACCATCAAACCTTAAAATCTCTCTCGGTAGGTCTAGAGCTTTAGATATAATTGTCATCCAGCCTTTCCCAGGAGGATCATCAACCGAAAGTGAGGCAGAAGAACACTTGTACAGCATCACCATATCAGTCTATGAGGTAGCCTTTCCAACTCAATTCCTCTATCTCTCTGAACTGATAGTACTTTAGCTAACTCTAATTGTAACAAGGGATCCATTCAGTAACCGTTTCGTTCAACTATTTAAATTACTACGATCTCCACAGAACTGATTCCAACCATAGGGTTTATATCAAATAATCAAATGTAACAGATAGTCATCTGTGCTTATATTATTCACGGATGAGTATTGTTATGGTGTAACCGAACGCCTTGTCTTCACATCTGAATAATCTTCAAGAATATCAGTAGTATGGACACACGTTCATTCATTTTCTCCCATAAAACCAATTTTCTCACTCTCTTCACACACTTGTTGGGAGATTTAAATTCCTCTGTTACAGAAAATTTCCAACTGTTTTCGCGCTCATTTCGTTTTGTGCGGTTCATTGTTTGAAACTATTTATTTTAACTGATCCACCTTCTTGTTTTCTCAAACTACTAAAATCTACACCCTACATTTAAATATTTGTGCTTCCTCCTGGATAATCACTTGGTACGTCGATCTTATCTTATTCTCCAATTCGAATGACGGATCTCTAGATAGATGTGGTTTCAGCAGCGAAAACAGCGAATTGACAATTTGTGAAACCGAATGCCAGTGTATTATGACATAGAGTGTGGATACCGTGACTAACATTATGCAGCTATTCATACGTATCATTGTATGAAGTTCAAATATTTGCTAAAAATTAAGTAAGATTATTTCATGTTGATTTTGGAATTAAAGTTAACGTGTATTTGGAATACAAAATTCTTGACGATTTTGATAAAAACTTTTATTCAACAGTGCTTTTACATCTAAACTATTTGATCAAAAAAAAGAAACGGAATCCGTGAGTGTATCTGAAGAATAATGAAGTAAGAATTTATTATACTTAAATTAATCATGTTAATCGAAGAATGAGCTAATGACGGTGGCTTTTCTACCCAGAAGGTCAGTACAGTAATTCATACTAGAAATATGGTTGTTGGTCCATATTGTTCATCCATCTACGTGTTAGTTCACCAACGAAATCGCAAGTCTTTACCCGATTTTCTCCATTTCTACCAATACAGGCATTATAGTAAATGCTACTTGCCTCTGTGCACACTTAACAGTTCTCTTCGTAAAGAGTTGGGTATTATTCCGGGCATTAATATTACTTTCTCTCCGCTCTTTCCGTTTTCATTTGTAACAAGATGTAGAGTCTCCAGCCACATGCTTCGACGATACATAAACTCAGTGCTTGACAGTTTCTTGATATTTGATTCGCCTTAAAACAGAAGATACACAACCTTGTTTGTGCAAACTCCATCTTTTCATTAATATCCTTATCTCTAGAACTTCCACCTTGGTCTAAGGGGTTGTTTTCAGTACATAATGAACATAACAACCTAGGAGTGTTTGGACATACGAGTGTAGCAACATCAGACCTATTCTTGTTAGCGGACGAAACTCTTGCCTTATACTCTGAATCGAGGTGTCTTTTAGTACAAACAGCCGAATGCGTTTGGTCGACATTAGAGGGATCTCCACTGACAAGTAATCCGTATCTGGTATAAGTAATATCCGAATGCTCTTTCAAAAATTCGCAAAGGTTCATAAATAAAGGCTCTCTGCCCGCCTTAAAAATCCCACATAGCACTTTCATCGATTCTATTAACAGGTGTAAAGGATGTTTTAAGAACACGCTATCGTTGTCTTTGTAGAATTAAGGTCGAATACATAGTTCTTCTGTGTGAGTATTATCTCACCTTACGACAGCCTTCTGTTTTGAGCAAGTCACAATTAACATTAGTTGACTTAGCTTCACTGTCACAATACTGAACTAGATAGCCCAACCAAAATCCGGTTCTAGCACGTTCACCAAAACAGTCTTCGAAATTGCATATGAAACTCTAATAAATCGTGCGATTACCATCAAACCTTAAAATCTCTCTCGGTAGGTCTAGAGCTTTAGATATAATTGTCATCCAGCCTTTCCCAGGAGGATCATCAACCGAAAGTGAGGCAGAAGAACACTTGTACAGCATCACCATATCAGTCTATGAGGTAGCCTTTCCAACTCAATTCCTCTATCTCTCTGAACTGATAGTACTTTAGCTAACTCTAATTGTAACAAGGGATCCATTCAGTAACCGTTTCGTTCAACTATTTAAATTACTACGATCTCCACAGAACTGATTCCAACCATAGGGTTTATATCAAATAATCAAATGTAACAGATAGTCATCTGTGCTTATATTATTCACGGATGAGTATTGTTATGGTGTAACCGAACGCCTTGTCTTCACATCTGAATAATCTTCAAGAATATCAGTAGTATGGACACACGTTCATTCATTTTCTCCCATAAAACCAATTTTCTCACTCTCTTCACACACTTGTTGGGAGATTTAAATTCCTCTGTTACAGAAAATTTCCAACTGTTTTCGCGCTCATTTCGTTTTGTGCGGTTCATTGTTTGAAACTATTTATTTTAACTGATCCACCTTCTTGTTTTCTCAAACTACTAAAATCTACACCCTACATTTAAATATTTGTGCTTCCTCCTGGATAATCACTTGGTACGTCGATCTTATCTTATTCTCCAATTCGAATGACGGATCTCTAGATAGATGTGGTTTCAGCAGCGAAAACAGCGAATTGACAATTTGTGAAACCGAATGCCAGTGTATTATGACATAGAGTGTGGATACCGTGACTAACATTATGCAGCTATTCATACGTATCATTGTATGAAGTTCAAATATTTGCTAAAAATTAAGTAAGATTATTTCATGTTGATTTTGGAATTAAAGTTAACGTGTATTTGGAATACAAAATTCTTGACGATTTTGATAAAAACTTTTATTCAACAGTGCTTTTACATCTAAACTATTTGATCAAAAAAAGAAACGGAATCCGTGAGTGTATCTGAAGAATAATGAAGTAAGAATTTATTATATTTAAATTATTCATGGCTATTGAGAATTATGTCATACTCCGCAAAGAATAAACTAACAACGGTGGCTTTTCTACACAGAAAATCAGTGTAGTAATTTATACTGGAAATATATGACTAGTTCGTACATATATATATTTTGAATGCATTCAGAACAAATTGTGTTTTCATGCTCTTTGTGACTCAAAGTAAATCAATTCTCCAGAGAATAAATGACCTAGATAAATTAAACGAAGTTTAAATTGCTCAAAGAGACAAATCTGGCCGCCATTCATCCCTTTTTAAAATGCATGGGACTTAAACTAGTATCAAAGTAGTGAACAGAGGATGCACATGTGCCAATAAGAGACTGGTCAATTGCAGTGCTAAACTCCAATGATAAATTTCAAACGGACAATACGAAATGAATTAAAACCTCGCTCCAATAAACAGGCTAGTGACTACCTAGACCCGGTAGGTTAGTGGATCACGCAATCGCCTTTGAAGTCACTCTCGGAGTGAACATCAACTACAAGATGCAGTTAGATCCAGATGACAAATCCCAAGTAGGATGAAGAATGCAACCGAGATTCCACTAAGGGTCGTCATCCACTTATACACATCTCTTCACATATGGTTGTATACAACTGATGAGAATACACGAAATATAATGAATTCATATCATTCCACCTCAATAATTTTTCTGACTTTATTCAAATTCATACAGGTTACCAATTGCATGAAATTTGCATATACTGTCTATCAATAATATTGAACACTAGAAATTTTTCGAACAATTAAATTTGCTTAATAAATCAAATTATTCATGCTCTTACGCTACCAAGCTATTCCTTTCCTTGGATTAATTTCCATTTTCATATGGACGATCTCCTAGAGAATGATATAAATGTACATAGGTAATCAGCAGGATTATATACTTGTAGGCAAATCACATCTATGCAATATAATGATAAGTGATAAGATACTATATCAAATGATAATGTAAACGAGCAAAGGGATAGTGCGAAAATATAAAATTAAACGTTCAAGATGTTCAAAAGTTCGCAAGGATGGTTTTGAACAGTTCACATGATGATTCTTATCACACACTTTATTTAACTAAGCTCACTGTAGTATGAATAACGTGAGTGAAACTGATTTATCGTCTAAACATATCAATATGAAATCAACAAACGTTTGTTGAAATGTACAAAACAAATCAACACAAGGTTATGATGAATAAGGAATCAGAGACTGAAGGAAAGTGAAATTCTCTTGACTGCAAAGTTGAATAGCATAAGACAATAATCCGTATTGTCAAATCCATAAAAACGAAGTGAAATCGATGAAAAACAAACTGGAATATTAAGTGAAATGCTGGAAAATTTGAATGCAACAAACTGAAGTGACTAGGTAGACTATTGTTAACACCCAACAAAATATGATGCTACATGAATCGGCGAAGCCTATGACCATCAGTGAAGTGATCTGGCAGTATTATATTCGAACTGTGGAAGAATCAGAGCCAGTAGTACAGAAAAGTATGGAGTTCTGAGTAGTTCACATCAAAAACAAAGTTGCTTTAAGAGACCAACGCAAATTGATGCAATAAACGTGCAGAAGGGGTAATGTTGAACATCATCTCTATTTAAATGTCACAAGGTCACTGAAACGCTCACAAATATTGAAAGTCATCTATCTGTGTTTGATGAAGAAAACCATCGACACTGAGATCTGGTTGAGGTTTATTTTCTAGCACTATGTCAAGCTCACATGTCATTTTAGCTTTCGGACAGACCACTTTTTTTCACTCTTCTTGAGTCACATTTTGAGTTTGTCTATTATCGGTACGTTAACACACTGACTGCTTTTAATTTGTGTACATAGCGTACCCTATTCATTACTACATTAGTTTATGTTTGTCAGGTTATAAATATTCAGTCACGTTTTATCAGAACCAGATGACGTCCTCTCTCGGCTTTCCCACTTCTTTCTCTAAATGTCTGTCTGGATAAACTAGTTCATCCAACGAAATCCGTATTCGGCCTCTTGTTACGACCTTCACACAAACGGGGTTAGTCTAGGAAATATACGTAGTCAAATTTTAGATCTATGTTCATGGCAGATTTGAACGTTAATCCAAATTGGAGTCAGATTAATAGGTCATTAAACAGCTACTCCGATTATTAGGGTTCTTCTATTTACTCTTGAGGGTTTATAATTGGAAGATTATGGAAATCTGTGTCAAGATGGTCAGTTGGGAGGTGTTTCAAATGTACGCAATTGTGTTCAATCCGTTTTGTCTAATGAAATGGAATCTGAAATATTGAGTGAAAATTTGACAACGTATGTGGATAGATATTTGAAACATACTGTTGGAACACATGTAATTGTCGTGTCAATTGCTAAACAGATACATCTTATCGACGATTGTATCAACAAACGTATGCATCCTTCCTCTTTTAAATGTTTAACACTCCGCAATCCGTGTTGATTTTCACTCATAATCTCGTAAGAGGTGATGCACATGATATCTGTGTTATCACATCATCCAACGTCAATATATTGGAATGTAAGAAAAAACTTACAAACATGAACTTAATCTCATCACATTTGCCTCTACAATCAACATGGATGTCAAAAATTCAAATGAATTCAAATATGTGATTTGGTCAACAAACTGGCTTTTCATGCAATCGCTTGTCCAGCAGAATCCATGTATCTCGATTTTTTCAAAGTAATGCCTGTATTGTGTTTTGAATTAAATTCACTGGTGAACAAGTCCCCTTCCTTTAGAAAAGTCGCCATGAAACGTAGATAAAAGTTTGATAATGTGAATGAAGCACGAATTCCACGTGCGTCGTTAAAAAGCACCACGATCGGCTTGCTAAGTCTGCACTGCCATACATGAACTTGAAGATAATGTTGAGCGATCAACTTAAAATACTGAGTAGCATCAATCACAGAAAACCGATTTTGTTCAAGCAACCATTGGAGACCACCAAGCACAACACAGATGTTTTGTTCTAGTACGAGACTACTCAGAAGTGCACACTCGTGACTTCAACGCGGATCGCACACGCGAATTTCGTGTCGCCTATTCAGCACAAAAAACACTCACCACAATTCACACACATATAGTGACTGATAAATTTATATTCGTTTCAAATACTATTGTGTAGATCAAAACAGAGTGAGAAGACTTGCCCTGCTTCATTTAACGTCTTATGTTAAGTCAGATTTGAAGTTAGACAGAGCAGATAAGAGATTAAATCCAACTTACTAATACTTGAGTTGTTCATGCAGTCATGTACATGAGGGTGAACTGAAAGTTAAGAGAATGAAAATAATCAGATTCACCGTTCAGTCAATATTGTCAACCAATCGAGCCTGCTATACTTACAGAATTCATATATGAATGAGCATTTTCGCTGTTTTTGGGATTCTGAATAAAGAGTAGAAAAAACTGATTAAATTTGTCAAAAAGAGAGGAAAATTGATTTACTGCGATTAAGACCATTATTAAAATTAAAAACAATAAACGTTTATTAAAAATATGAAACTATTAGCCAGAAAAAATGAGTATACTTCTTTCAGTTGATAAATTATCATCACGTTAATACAAACTCTACACCATCATTGAATTGCTCACAAATAATGTAAGCCATCTATTAATGTTCCGTGTCAAGTGAGTTGGAGATCAATGAATGTTGACAGTAATTAGATGACGAAAGTTCGTCTGTTCTCTGTCCTGGGTTCTTCAGTAGAATGTTGTGAGTGTCGGTGTCTACGTGCTCACTTTGAAGCTGCTTCACATTTACTCGTTTGTAATAAACTGTCATATCCACTGTACTGGAATCCATATTAATCAGTGAGGATTTGATAACGCATTTAAATCGGTATTTAAAATGAATTCCTCAAACATATATGGATGCCGCATTGTCTCCGTCACAGTCATTGTCGTGAAATTACAAGTGATATCCGAGTCATTATGAAATCAGTTATTAGAAGAAAGTAAAAACCATATAATCGAGGCATTTTGTCGACATTCGCTTACTGAAAGAAATGTCCCCTGTAACACCTGGATCATTGTCATCTACAAATGTCGGAACAAACAACACTCAGTTCGTGTTCATTCTTGTTATCGCGTGTTTACGTCGAAAGCATTCACTTTACAACCATTTCGGTAGTTAAGTAGCAGACAACTGACGCATAATTACAATTCAATGCATCGAGAATAAACTTAAAAATCGGTAGATTTGTTCGGTTCATAACCAAATTTGTGGTTATCCATAAAACATATGAACTTTCATAACTTGCTGATCGTCACCAATTTCCCAGCAGCATCTCCATACATTATATTAATAAGCGTAGTCTACATTTTTCGGTTAATGAAGGTAGATATGTGGGAGTGTGAAGCGCATAATTTATTACGCTTAATTGTCCATTTACCAAATTAGATAAAGCTTGAAATAAATCACTATCCGTCCTGTTTCTTAGGTTATTGCATTGCACTTTCTCTGCCTACTGAAAAGTATCCACACTGCAGTCACTTCATACCATCTTGTTAGGTGTTATATCCGAGTGGAGATTAAATTACAGGTAACTTCCGAGGACTATTCATGGACTAATATTCTATAAATATTCTTATTGTATAACTATTCAACAATTACATTATGTATATTTATATCCCTCTTATGACAAGCTTTATTTTGGCCTATAATTTATTATTGTACGATTTACGGTTCTTAAGTTATGTTCAGTTTATTAACTACTGCCTCCCACATTCACAGCCACTTTTTGGGCTTATTTGTGTACAAATATTATTTCCTATTTTATGGTACGTTGCGGTCTGTGTGATTAATATATAAACCAAGTATGCCTGAAATAAACGATCTGCTCTGATTCGAAGCTGGTATCTTGTTCTGGACTCAAGTGGAAGGGCTCGTAGGACATAGGACCAATAAGGACGCTAAACTGCCCACACCGGTTGAACGTCATTGGTTGGTCTAGTGTAAAGATCCGTATAAGTCGTATTCGGATTGGTCGATAGGTCGCGTGATAGCAAAACAAGACATTCAAGGTCATAACAATTGGCGACGGGGATTTTGGCAAAAACAAAATAATTGGGAGACGCAAGGTCATAACATTAGGAATACAGATACATAAGTTTATTCCAAGGCGTGGTTTATCTGAACATCATGTATTATGGTGCGTATCTTCATAAACCTCACTTCTCACTTTATTTAACGTGTTTCGTAAGTCATGATACACCTCCCCATAGATTCACAGCATTTATGTAGCTGATTACTGATGTCTTTTATTCCATGCAGACATATATGCGTGCGTGCATTTGTTGTAACTGTATTTCATATGTTGAGTTTTTGACTGAACCTTTAGATAGATAGATCGATTTGTGTGTGTCGATTCTCCTCAAACAAAGTTGACCAAATAAAACATCATTACAGTAATAGGGAGAAATTCAGCTTACGATTATCGGTGACATTATTTTGACCAGGATGACTGCCGAAGGCTTTAAATTAAGAAATTGAAAATGTCAGCCACATCAAAATGTCGAAAAGATTTATTCGTGCTATTTGTGATTCATCACAAATAATCATTGTCCACAAAAGCTTTAGACATTGATAAAAAAAGTTGTTTTTCAATTTTACAAAACGAATCAAACCGGATGTTCGTCTACAGTGAGAGAGACAATGTGAGGTGAGAAACGACACTCACATTGACTTCCTCTTTTAGTCTGACTTGCGAATGACTTTCATTCATAGTGATTAGAAATATTCTCACTCCCCTTAGATCAATAATTGAACTTGATGTAAGCTTCCTCTATTATAAAGATTATTGGTGATTCCAGAAAGTGACTATCGAATGTGTGTCACATCCTTATGGTCACCCTACTTGAAAGTGTTCTTGATACCTGCAATATAATAATTGAATGATGCTACACAGCACCTTTAAACATGACCTAATTCGCTATTGAACTGTTGTGAGTTTTATGCACACAGTTTTTGTCACAACCTTCTCATATGGACTTACTTGGTATATCTTGTTTTTGTTACCAGAGATTTACTGGATATTTGGATCCTATCTCACATGTGCTAAACATCCTTGCATGTTTATCTACTTTTAAACCATAATTATTTGATCGGAAAAAGCAATAATTTGTTGAGCCGTTATCAAATTTTTGAGTCAAGTTGGGCTCGTTGAACTTAATTAAAAGTGTTATCATGACTTACACATCTGGTCAAATGCTGAGTTCACGTCATTTTCACCAACAGCTAGATAATTGATAGATGAAGAATTGTTAGAGCTGTTCGAATGTGAATAAGATTTATTTACTTGTTTTCGGTACAGTGGTATTTTGTAGCAAATCGCATTTGACACTTTTCATCTTCTAGTTTAAATAATCAAACGATTTTGTTCAAGCAACCATTGGAGACCACCAAGCACAACACAGATGTTTTGTTCTAGTACGAGACTACTCAGAAGTGCACACTCGTGACTTCAACGCGGATCGCACACGCGAATTTCGTGTCGCCTATTCAGCACAAAAAACACTCACCACAATTCACACACATATAGTGACTGATAAATTTATATTCGTTTCAAATACTATTGTGTAGATCAAAACAGAGTGAGAAGACTTGCCCTGCTTCATTTAACGTCTTATGTTAAGTCAGATTTGAAGTTAGACAGAGCAGATAAGAGATTAAATCCAACTTACTAATACTTGAGTTGTTCATGCAATTACCTTCATATATTTCTTCTGAGTATTATAAAAATGAAAATCATCAGATTCACCGTTCAGTGAATATTGTCATTCAATCAAGGATAAAGTACTTACTCAGTGTAATAAACATTGTACAGAGTGTTTCTGAATCTAAAGCCGTATTAAAAAAAGACGAAAGACGATTGGAATTTTCATAATGTACATATTATTAAAATGCCTGTTTGCTTCACACCTAGTTACTGCGTTGAATTCTATCAGAAAGCAATCGTTTAAATGAAACACACTTAACGTGGATCGCATTTATGCATCTATCAGACAGAACGAATGCGTATACTGTGTTCAGTTGATCAGGAACCATAGACATTCATAATAAAATACTAAAAATTCTATATCGTTGAAAACAAAATTTCACACTTATGATATTATTCTAGGATCTCGACTATTGTTTTGCACTCATAATTTTAATATATATATGGATCGTTATTATTAATGATCGTTACACGCAAACGTGTTCATACATGAAAATAACAAAATCACAACATATGACCACTTTCGTCCGACACTTGAAATCCTCGAGCACTTGCAATATCTGGGAAATAAAAACAACGTTCCGTGACACGTTATGAAGACTGATAAAAATCCTGTGCGACATACCAGCGAAATGAATTGATTCTTTAATCCAACTAGATCTGACAACATATGATATGGTGTATATTATCGAGAATCTTTATTCACGATTTCCCATTTCACATGATATTGTGCTAATTCTAGCAGTCATGTCTAACATGCCACTTGACTTCAGAGAGAGCGTGACGAAAACACATCAATTTCATAGGGGCAATACAACATCAATGAATTGCTCACAAATAATGTAAGCCATCTATTAGTGTTCCGTGTCAAGTGAGTTGGAGATCAATGAATGTTGACAGTAATTAGATGACGAAAGTTCGTCTGTTCTCTGTCCTGGGTTCTTCAGTAGAATATTGTGAATGTCGGTATCTACGTGCTCATTTTGAAGCTGCTTCACATTTACTCGTTTGTAATAAACTGTCATATCCACTGTACTGGAATCCATATTAATCAGTGAGGATTTGATAACGCATTTAAATCGGTATTTAAAATGAATTCCTCAAACATATATGGATGCCGCATTGTCTCCGTCACAGTCATTGTCGTGAAATTACAAGTGATATCCGAGTCATTATGAAATCAGTTATTAGAAGAAAGTAAAAACCATATAATCGAGGCATTTTGTCGACATTCGCTTACCGAAAGAAATGTCCCCTGTAACACCTGGATCATTGTCATCTACAAAAGTCGGAACAAAAACACTCACGGCATGTCCATGTTCATTGGATATCGTCTTAAAAGCTTATCACGTTATGATGCATAAACTTCGTGAAAACAACAACCTGTGCTGTCAACTCAACGTTAGACATAGACTTATCGAGAAATCCTCTATTTGCATTTGGAGCTTGTAATGCATAATGTTTGCGTGTATATGACTACTTACGTACGAATTTTTGCACAAATCAAATTTATAAAAAGGTTTTATCAACCAACCGTCGTTGAATCATTGTCAGTATTTACAAAAAACGATTAACCCTTAATGGTCATCCAACTAATTCATCAGTGTAATACGGTGGTAAAATAATAATAATACTTACGGAAGGCGTTTATTCCTGCGTTTGTGTCACTTTCATTAACAGCTAAATCATTCACAGACAAAAGCTTGTCAAATGGTTACAATGTAAATGCAGTTCATCCTCATAATTGTTAGAAACTGATATTTTGTGGTGAATTTCATCAGAAACCAATCGTTGAAATAAAACTCATTTAACCTTATTCTGATTAGTAAGTTTAATCGCAGTGATGGATGCGAAGACTAAATTTGTTCGACTGATGTAATTACATAATGAGAAACAAACATTAAAATGCTTTGAAAGAGTGTGGACGTTTTCTACTACATATCTACATTGGTTATTCAAATGTCTACCTCAATGGAAATGAGTTTGTCGAATTTATATTCTGATTTACAAATGTAAACATTCGTCAGTATTTTTAAGCTGTACATTACTGGAGAAATGCCTGTTCTTCTTTTCGCCTGGAATCGCGATGGTGGAAATTAACTAACGTTAGTTTTATCATGCTATACAAATTCAATAGATCAGAATATTGAAACAACTCACAAACTTGAACTTACGTCTGTCACCTGTACGATAAGCGTGAATGCCTAAAATATAAATGAAACGATATCTTCTCAGATCATCACAATGAAACTTTAGGCAATCAGTTCCCTCGATAACATGTCATAAATTAAGATTAACTAACTCAGTAACGTGAAATCAATTCATTTCACTTTCTTTGTTGTAAATCACTCATTTACACACCGATTTGTACAAATAATAAAAACACATAAGTTGTAGGTATTTTTATGTTGTGCGTGAGTGTCTTTTGGCTCACTAGTGGGAACTTAAGTTAACAATGACAATGATCATCATAATGATAAAATGGCTGAAAACAGTATTATGAATGTGTAAAGTAATACGAATTGGTACTCTCCACCACGGGAACAAACGACGTTTGGATGTTGCAATGTATGTGCAATTGTAATAAATCAGATTCATTTGTGTAGATCAGAAAGTGTAAATATGAACTCCAGCACACAAAGCAAAACACGTTTACTTCAACGTACACACTTTTTCAACTACATATGTTGAAAATCAAGAATAAATCAATCAATAGAGGAATTGAATGTGGTTCATTCAAAGTAACTTCCCTATCGACGATGGTACTTGGGTCACATACACAATCATATTTGTAATGAAGCTTCACACAAACAAGTCTTCAATAAAAGGTGTGGATGTTGTGCCACTTTGTTAAATGTTCATGAGTCTGTCTTAAGCATTAGAGTATCCAATGCAAGTTGTAAATTGACTTCAAAAGTAATGGGAAGTCATCATTCATGCAAAGAAAATGTAGGTAGTGAATAATGTGCCATAGAATCAAATGAATCGTTTACTAACAAGTCATGATAATATTTGATAAATTTGAAAGATTAATTAGAACTTCATATGCATGAGATAACATATATCTCTTTAGAGCAAAGAATTGTGATCTGCAAGAGCCTTTCGATGAATACACATTTCTTTCAAAATATTTATTATATCCATTATTACCTTGCTGCTTATATTTAACGATTGTTTGTGAGAACAGTTTCATAACGCTCATTTGCTGAAAGTAGTTGAAGGTAGACTTTAGAGCATCTTAATTCACCTACGTTTCAAATTGGTTGGCACTGGTTCGAAAAAAGTAAATGTAATCCACAAAGTACTACTGATAAATGGTGGACTTGAACCAGCATCACACTACATCAATAGTTAACTATTCACTTGTTATTGACAAAAAATTACTTAACCATGAAATTACATACATTAACAAGCAACACTTACCGGTAATACTGGCAGTAAACACAATGGCTAAAAGCAAATGTAAAAGATTCGCATTCATTTTACTCGGTCTGTGTCGTTCTGTAACATTGAAATTCTGTGTGTGTATATATACCTTTTACTCTGGTTAAATGGAATGTAAAATTCACTTAATCAGAAAACGATTCGTTGAATACTTCTGAATGTGTGTGTATATGGTGTGTTTGTATGTGTCTCTGTTCCAATAAGAATACATCCAGGTGTAAATGCATATAACTTTTAATTGATTACAGAAAATATTTCTTCTAACACATCAAAAGTCATAGTTGAATAACAATTGCATGCCAAATATAATTTTCACCACGGACGTCTTTTGGATGAAATTCGTACTGAGAAAGGTCTTGACATCACATTTCATTAAATTCCGATTTCTACTAGTAATAATGAAATGAAGGTGAGTCGTTTATTTTCTTTACCTTGATTAGCAATACTTGAGTACCAGTTACGGATTATGTTTATGCGATGAATATGTTGAATAATTTGAGAGAGTTATTTTTTATCATAGTGTGATTTCAACCAGCGACAAATGAAAAAACTAAAACAATGAAAGTCTTTTATTTCCTACCAGAAGGGAATTTTTATGTGACGGTATCGTGCTGACAAAAATTAGGGCAATCAAAATCCCTGTTTAGCCACCTTGTTCATACACAACGCATAATACTCCTTACTTCATCACTGATGAATGTCGGCTTACACTGATACGTCAGTGTAAATAAATTAGGTGCGAAATAATAATTGTAAAACTAATGTTTTTCTATTAGACAATTATGTTGATAAAGTAATGTTCTGTGAAGAACGACAATAAATGTTCCTACAAAGAGAATATCTGTACTGAGATGTGAAAATAAGTTCGGTTAAGATATCGTTTATGCCAAAATAAAAATTTTCCTCAGCATTTACAACATGTTAACATGATTACTGAAATAAACGCCAATCACAATATGTTGAGTATTTACTTTTTTGTTGGAGCTAGTCTACAGGAAATCACGAACTTAGATTTCATGCTATTTGACACTCATCAACATAGTGTTACAGTTCAGTAGGTTTCGATCTTCACTAAGAAAACCTTAGCGCTCATGAGACTTATAATTACGCACCTCAATAAGTTATACAGACAATTAACATAATGGTTTATTAAAACAAACAAGAAAACAGATACCTTTTTGAAATATCTAGATGACAGGAACAGGTAGCACAGACATTCAAGCAGGTCGCCAAAGTAATTGTAATTACAGACACACATTGATGATCAGTGTAGATAAGCAATAAACGTAGTTAGACTATCTTCTGACAACTACTACGAGCTTCCAGCTTACTCAGATGGACAGACTGAAATTCCTGCTGAAGAAACTAAATTAGTCACATTATTATCAGTAGGTCAGTGAGGACTGGATAATTAAAAACGCGTTCTGCCGTTAAATCAGTTAAATCCGATCTGTTTCTCAAACTCTGTTTTGAAGCAGTCATTATGGATAAAATTTCGAAGACTGTCTTCCTAAAACGCCTCAACAAATCAGTTGATTTTCCAACTTTCGAAATTTCTCATTGCAGTTACACATGAACGAGAATTTTATTATTGCATATGACTGCATCAATATTTCCACTGTCAGTCATGATGTGAAGTGGACCCAGACATTATTTAAGGTCCCATCCATTGTAGATAAACATTGTTCTCATGTATCAAGAAGAGCTAAAAATAAGGCTTATTCGGACATTGAGAAAGATCCACCAGAATTCCAAAGTGACAGGTGTATTTACGTTTTAAGTTATTCGACAGGTTTATCCACACATATGATATTTGTGATATACAAAAGGGGCAAAAGAAGAGGATGATGATGATGTGTGAGCGCAATTGTTCGTATCATGTGCTTGCACTTTGGTTAACTGTCATATTATTTATTCATCTCTGTTTAAATTGAATCAGTATATGCGACTCATGAAATCAAATGATGAACTTCATCTTCTGATTAAAGTCAGTTCTCAAGTTCGGATGGATCTTCATTTGAGAATATTGATATTGTACATATTTAAGATTTCAGTATAAACAAGACACAAATTTAAATAGCTTTCCTAGAAAACAAATGTTATTAACATTCTTTAAGGACACTAGCAATCTGAATCTAAAAAGTGGGTGTCAAATCCTCTACAGTTTGAAGCAAATGTGCATATCTGTGAGCTTAGAATATGTTATCTAAACTCGAATCAACAAATTTCAATTCAAACCTTCCGAAAAAGATTAAATTTTGATTTCCAATTTCAATGTCGACCACAATGCAACATCACGGCAAGTAAATGTGTTAATATGTACATATCGAGTCACTGATGCACACTGAACCAAATGCTTAGAATGATGGTCAAAGCAGATCGAGAATATCAACATCAAGGTGATACAAGTGTTTTCTGTCAATTTCTAATTGTTTATTTTCCTGAAAATGTTTCTCAACACTGGTTTTATAAGTAAATTGTATGAGTCACACTAAAATCAATTGTATAGGCTGCCTATTACAAACCCACTGATGAAAACATCAGCATTCTGAATTAGTAGTTATAATTACTCTGTTTTCAGTTGAGTCTTTGTCATTTAATATTTGATGACTTCGTTTGATTTCTGGTCACCAGATAAGAGTTTATACCACTAACACTATCGGTACAGTACCATCTGAAAAGTTCAGATCTGAGGGTTAGTAATGCTTTTGTCCTTGTACAGTCTCCACCCCGTTCTGCAAACACATAGTGATGTCTTTGTAATAAGGCGTTCTCCTCGTCCCTGTTTATCGTGTTCTCGGTTCTGATCCGCATGTAAATTTTTAATCGAATAGTCTGATCATTTTGGTGTTTCCACCAGATATAATCACAATAAATCGAGTCCTGAATAGTCTGTAAGGTATAATGTTTTGTTCGTAGTTGTATTCCCCTTGGAAACAGTGCAAGATGCTTCCACAATCAATGTTCGACTTTCTAACACAAGCTCTGTGTGCTAGTCAAGTTGTTGTGCAAACTGGAGGTCTCTAAATATTCTACTTAGTTTTTGAGCTGATAAGAGCTATGACAATCGCTGTACCGAGTTGAAGACAAATACTTCTTACGAAGTTGTTCATTGTTTAATTCTGCCCTAACAATATACAATTTTAACATTATACATTAATATAATGTTTATAATTTAGCTAACAATATACAACCGTTTATTAAAACTATTCAGTAATTTTACAAATGAATTGACCCTTAATATTCTAAGCAATCGGATCATCCATTAGAATATATTACTGAGTAGGTTTTGTTGTGAGAATTTGTTTGGAAACTTCCTTTATTTTTTCATCTGTGTATCTGTAGTCCTATACCAGGGTAGTCATATAATCACATTCTCTGCTGTAAATGAGTTTAAACTAGAATTAATTAAACATTTCAATAATACGGTGTGCTAATAAATCACCGTTTGTCAAAGTATGAAACAACAAAATATGTGTCGTATTTGATATGAACTAAGTTCATAATAAATAAAAACACCGTTTCACATTCTTATGAAAATAAACAAGAAATATGCGGTAACTAATGATCACTTCTAAAATTGACTTGAATATTAGAATGAATTGAAGGAAGTTAGTGTTGGCCGACTGTGGAATACACTTTCACAAATTCAGTACATGAATAGTAAATAAATATACAGTGACTGGACACATCTGTTAATTCAAGAAGGATCGAATTGAGCGAAGAAATTCCTTCTGAATTAGTTTTTCATCATGGCTCTACACCAATATATATAAGTACGATTGACAGTAATGATACAATACTCTTCTAGTGTATACGTTAAGTAACAATTATATAATGAAATTCTAATTAACATTGAGTAATTGGAAGAAAGAGGATTGATAATTATCAATGTAATTATTCGAAGATCACGAAGTTGCTACGTTGCGTTATATAAGAAACAGAGAAGGAACAGAATTTTTTATATTGGATGGTCAATAAAATAGTAGTTACGTTAGAATCAAGGGATGAATGTTGAGAATTTATAAAGTTCCAAAACAAAATTACAAAAATTTTCAAAAAAAACCAAATGGAAGAAGTGTGAAAAAAAGTTCTGTTGAAGGGAATCTTATACCGATGGCAAAGTCAGTGAAAGTGGTTGTACAAAACTCTTTTGCAAAGGTTAGGTTTGTGAACATGGATTGCAATGGCTTCCACAATGTGCAAGATGCGTACTCATAAACCATGTGGCAAATTTGGTGGGATATTGTAGATAACCTTAAAAGCTTTATTCAATTCAACTTGATGATCTGTGTCAACCAAGTGAAATAGAATAGAGCTTTTAATCACTTTTACCTGTCCGTTGCTTAACCACAACGGATGATGTTCTGTAATATGATGACGAACTTGCCGAATTGTACGCCCTATATAACTGGCTCCACAGGAGCAGTTGAGTTGATAAATACACATGGATGTGGCGAATTCAGGCGGTCTGTCTTTATTGGCCGTCCTTATTTTGAGGTGTTTGTAGAAGATAGCATTTAATCTGTCTGGCAAAATGGGAATTTTCACTATATTGAAACGTTCTGAGCAAGCATTTGCGTTAAAGGTTCACAACGAGTATCTGAAGTGTAGCGCAAGGCTCAGTGAGGCGATGACAAATGTTGATTTTATAAAGGAGTGCATAGTAACCAACTTGTATCCAAAATTGTATTGGAAATCTTTACGTCGCTCTCGAGTTCGACCAAATAGAAGAACTCTCAAACGCTACGCCCTTAACCAAATCGATTCTCTAAACTCATATATTGCCGAGGTGGTAAAAAATATCAACGAGAGAATTTACGCGGTAAGAGGAAAATATCTGAACTATGTTGAGATGGTTGTTAACTCAAGAAAAGAAAAGAAAAAAGTGAAACTTAAAAATCTAGACAAACAGATTCCAGAAATGAAACTTTCATCTAATCCAGGTCAGTACGTACACAATTTTTCGAGTGTTATGCTGGATAAAACTGAGTTAGAAGCGTTATCATTAGGCCCTAAGTTTTGTGACTTTAAGAA